CACCAACTTCATCTACACCTTGTTGCCCCTGAAATTTCCCTATGGGAGGCATTTAATGTCTACCATGTGCTTTTCTACCATCAAAAACCTTTACTGTCACTGTTAGTGTTTCCTTCTACTATTCTTCATTCTCCTAACCTATGATTTATTACAAAGGAATTTGTGAACAAATATCCTCCTGCCATTCTCACTACACCCTAAATCCATAATTTTATTAATTTTCAAGATATTTCACTGTCAATATGTTTAAATTTATCCCATTATACTTACAGTTGTATATTGTGGGTTAGGAGGAGGTAGTTTGAAGCTGCCTGCATTGAGGAAATCATGTGCCTAGTGAAGAATGGATTTATCTGTTAGTGTCTCCTTTGTTATGGGGTTGCCTATTTGTAGATCTTAAAACTAAAGAAAAACTTTGCACAGTAAAATGCAACTCACTGAATTTAGAAGTTGCATTATAACTAAGAACATTCTTAATTTTAGTAGCATTAAGCTAGAATTTATGTACTCTTCCATCACTAGTTTAGTGGTTAAGAAGCGTTACACAGTATTTTAATATTTTATGAAATAACATGACTCTTGCCGTGCTCGGAACAGAAGCCACAAGAAGCTGTTATTGGATACCAGAGAACTACCCACACCTCTGTTCACCATTCTCACCATGTATTACACTACAGTGGACATATCGTGATGGTCATCTTGTAAACCTACCATGGGCATTGTTGGTGACTGGTGATGTGATAATGATTCGTCCAGGTCAACAGGCTCCGGGACATTGTATACCATTTGAGGTGAGAGACTTCAGTATCACTAATATAAGTCAACAATATTGTGATTTTGAGGTCTCTCCTCATAATTTAAGTTTGAGAGGTGCATGGTTTGAATCCTGATTCTGTTTTAACTGAAGTTGTTTCTGATTTACCTCTATTCCTGTGGAAGAATACCAATATAAGTATCATAATTTAAGGTCACTCATTCTCCTGTTATGTGGTAAGAAATGAAATGCATCTTGTTGCAGGATAAGGAAGCACCAGTTCTTCATGCTCGTGAAGTGTACAGTCCCATGTTGCATTCCATTCGTGAGTCATTTAGTATTCCAATGGCCCGTTCTCCATTGTTCAATAAGAAGTATATTCTCCAAGAGACTCCATACTTGAGCAATCTGCGTTTGGCTCTAGAGCAGGCTCTGGACCGACCAGTTACATACCATAATAGACTACGGCACCTTCTTATGCCTACGTGTTTGGAGCAGCTTGCACTTCCTGTCATTCTGGTCAGTTACAGTTGTATATAAGATTTTCTCGACATGTTTTTGCATATCTGAGTCAGTTTTATTCCTGGAGCTCTTTTAAGAGGTTGAAGAACATTTCTAGATACATTCAAGTTTCATATCTTTAAGGCTGTAGGTTTGATGTCGGCCATTATTACAGTTATGTGAAATAAAACACAACAAATTATAAAAGTGTACAAAATTTTAATGTGTCACCCGGAAGGAAAGTGATTACTTTATAGATGTAGCCATAAATGGGAGGATAATGTTCAAATGGATCTTAAAATAGCATGAGTGTATAGACTGGATTTAGCTGGTTAAAGGATCAATCGGTGGACTCTTGTTACATGGTAATGTACAGTTTTATTCCATAATAGGAAATGTTTTGATATTACAGACAGTAAACAATGTCCAGCATAATTGTATTGTTGTAAAACAACCTTTTTTCACAGACCTTTGGAAAAATTTTATATTCTTTGTTACTATAGGTATGTGTGCTGTTTGTCAACCTCATTCGCTTCCTATACCTCAGCAGGTGGGTTGGAATAGGTCATTGGACTGAGATGTTCCTCCTGCAGACAACAGCTGTTGCTCTTCCATTGCTGCCAGTTGTGTTTCCAGCGGCCTGGATCATTCTGGACTCACTGGGCATGGCTCGCATACAGGCCCTTATCCATATGCCCACTCATTCACAGGTCAGATGAGAAAGTTTACTACTGAAGAATACAAATGAATGCAGGGATACAAAACAACAACATCTCCTTAACTACTGGATTTGCATCATTATTCTATAAGATATACTTATGGTATTACTTCTGCTTGTTCTCCCCTCCCCAAATAATTTTTGAACCAATTAACAGATTTTCATGAAACTGTGTGTGCAAATCATGCCAGTTTATGCCTTTTCATTTTATGTCATTCATTGTAATGAATTATCTAGAGATGGGTCCTTGTTGTGTTGATGTTACTGGGTTTGTAATACAGTGAAACCTCGATGCATCGTTTTTGGCGGGGGTGGGGAATAAAAACGATGAATACGGGAAAACGATAGTTGCGGGAAAGCATTAAAAATTTGAAAAAAAACTGAATGTTTCTCTTTCAAAGTTACTTCTTTTTACCAAAAAAGTCTTTAATGGACAATTGGTTTGTCGAAACTTTACGTTTTAGGCCAAACAGAGCCCTTTCCACGTTCAAAATGTTTCCCTCGTCACGTTCACTAATATTATGCGCATAAAAGAACGACTTCACTTTTGCCAATGCAGCATTTGCTTCGGCAAAACTCGGCACAGCTTCAGGCTCGCATTCGTCGTCTTCCTCTTCCTCACCACTCCCACCCCCTTTGCGAACAATAACAGGAAGAATGGAAATACTATTACTGCCGAACTCAAGGAAACGTAGCTGTAGAAGACACTGAACCACTGGAAATGAGATGAACCAAAAGAATGAAAAGTGTCGCCCACCTTTCCTTTGTACTTATAATAAAAGCATTTGTGAAGAAATTCACATTTCACATGCCATCTGGCATCGCTGGAACGAAATATGAGTGCACCCTAATTAAACTCATAAAATTTCTGACAATGAGCACCACCATTCACTCCAACTATCACCCCTGCACCGCTGACCCCTCATTCCAAAAGAATCTGTGCTGGTTGGGCGACATAACAGGTTACCGCTACTGTGTATTCCAAAAACATTGTGCGTCTTATCTCAAAACCCAGCATTTTAAATTCTAAAAACATCGCGTAAATTTTGTTATAATTTCTCAGAAACGATCATTGCGGGAAAATTGTGGGCCAGGACTAAGATTTTTGAACGATTGATGCGATAAAACGATAGTTCGAGGAACGATAGAAGCGGGAAAATGTAACATTATTTTATATGGGATGTATCCAGGACCGAACAAAACGGACGATGCATCCAGGAAAACGATAGTTCGGGGAACGATGGATAGAGGTTTCACTGTACTAGTCTTACATTTTTCCATTACTTGAAAGAACTTTTAAATGTTTTTTTCATCTTATCAGTGTGAAAGTGAAAGTCTTTTATTTGGTATTGAATTATGTTGTAGTAGATTGATTAGTACTTCTTGAATTTTCCTGGTTTAAATATTGGCTGACAGTTGTTGTCCCTTCATGAAAGTAAACTAAACAGGTTAGTTCAATTGTAATGTGTAATTTGTGTTTAGGAGGTAGCTGGTTCAGATTGTGGTTGATGCATTCATTATCGTAACAATTTTTTCCTCAGTCCCACCATATGAATAATAGGTCATGACAACCATGCCTTATCCTCTCCAGTCTGTCATTTGTAATCATCTTTACATCTCATGCCTTAGTATAGCTTTGTCAAATAACTCAGAAACCAACCATTTATCCTGGCATATAATGAGTGGTGTATTAAAATAGCCTGTGAACACTTGAGCCTGCTTCTTTTCTAATTTTCTGTTCATAGTCATCCTGTCAGTTTTCAGTTAGCACTGTAAACCTCTGCTGCTGATAGTGTTATCAAACAATATAACAGTTAGTGCTCTGTTTTTTTATATAAACAATTAATACATTTCTAGCACATGACTGTAGACCCTTTTGAAGAAGCAGATCTTGCTGAGCCAAAACACCAAATACCTGAGATCAAGTGGAGAAAGATTAAGACCTACTTGGTGGATGTTTTAAGAGGACGTGGGCAGATTCCGTCTCGATCGGCCAACCTGTTACATGTCCTAGGTTCTGTAACTGTAAGTTTGATGTTGAACTGCAAGATATTTAATTCTTAACTTGTGTCTCTTAGAAATTTTTAGTGTTTCCACAATGCCTATGTGTCATTCCATTCCAAACAGGGGACTGTTCCATTACTTTTATATCAGAAATCAGTATTACTGGTTCCACAGACATTACTGAAAGTTTCATTTTTTGTATTTAGTGAAAAATGTCATTACCTCAGGGATTGTACCCTCATCTACACTGGAGATATTATTTGGTGTGTAAGTGAATAAAGCAAGTGAAATTCACTGAGAGCTTGTGTATGTCTGTGGAGAGATGTGATGTCAAAAAAACATTTTTTTAATGAATTAAAAATGGTTGTATGAACATCAGCCATAAACCAAGGAGTGGTAGGCTGTCAATGAGCAAAACAGGTGGCACCAACATAAATTACTTAGAACAGATGAGGATATTCAATGTGAAGTGCAAGGTTGGCTGTCAGGGTTGAGCCAAGACTTTACTGCAAGAGTATGGGTAGTCTCATTGCACAGTGAGACAAATTCCTTCTTAGGTAAAGCAATTATGATGAAAAATAATACAGATATGTGCCACAATTGCTATATATCTTTTTTGTGGTAATTAGTTAATGATTAGCATTTCAAGTAACCAGCAAATGTCAGTTTCAAATAAATGCATTTTGATATATTTTCACTAAATTATGATTTGTTTGCAGGCTTTGTGCTGTGTTGACAAGAAAGGTATCCTGTCATGGCCAAATCCAACAGCAGAGAAAGTTTTTTTTCTTAGAAACTCTTCTCATACATCTCACTCTTCAAGGTAAGAGTTTCATCATGACTTTTTCGTTGGATCTTTTTTATGCCATTGCCTTACACAAATCATCTCTAAAAATACATAACAGTAACTATATCAACATAGTATTGTTATTACTGTTTTTAGGATAATCCATGTTGTCTGAAAGATGTAGACCATTTTACTGTAAGTCCTGTGTGCTTGAATGCAGCCAAGTGTTGTGAATTATCTAATTTAATTGAATCAGTTTCATCTTTTGCAAGTCACTGTTTTTTATGTGTAGTGCAAACAGTATTGTGCATACTGACCCACTGCAGACAGGAATACTGGAAGAAGATGAGAAAGATGAGGGAACGTCAAAGTCCAGTTTTATGCAACATGGTAAGGCGGTGTCAGTGCAATGTAAAATATTTTATTATGTGAAGCTGCTGTACAGTTAGTGTGCTAAAAACTTTGTGCCAAACTGTGAATTTCATTACATTACTATTTTAATATTAAAGCACTGTTTGAGTTTCCAGTAACTAATAAATCTTAATGGAAACTTGAGTACTTTTCCAAAAACCTCCATTGTAAAGAAATTTATAAAACCAAAGTCAAATAAGGTGAGGGTCTGCTGATTTTTTATCAAATGAGATAGTATTCAATCAGCAAAATGTCTGACTGTGTGGCTGGGCAACCACGATTCATTTCCCAGTAAGTTGAAGGATTTTTCTCACTTGTTGACCAGCCCTGGGGTCTACCCATTTTTTATTATTTTTTTTAGGAGTACAGGAAATAGTTCCCTGCGATTCAGATATAGCCAGGATATGAAGTTGACACATCCATCTAGTACAAAAGTTAATAGTAATGCATGGAGTGTTTATCTCCATGATGCCATTTTCATGGTGGATAAGCACCAGTGTAGCTTTACCTCTGTTCTTACTGTGTTATACATGTCGGTTAAGATTAGTTGTTAGTGATTAATTAGTACAATTAGAGACTGTCCTGGATGCATACTTATTCATTCAGTTTGACCTTCAGTTGATCACACAGTTTTATCTGTTATAAAATATTTTATGATATATTTGGAATATTATGTAAGTATTGTTGCCTTTCCAGATATGAACCTTAACATACTAATGTATAATGGAACAAAACATGTGTGCTGTAGATTACAATGCAATGCCGACAGTGGCTGAGGTCTTGGATCTGACCCATGATCACATGAGCCCCTTCCGTCTTCAGTTTGATGACCACACATGGAAACAGCATCTCAGCTCTCTGAAACCTCTAGGGTTGGCAATCTTGCTTAATACCTGCAACATGGCCACACAGGAGCACTACACACAGTTTTGTTCTCATGTAACATGCGAAGCCCTCTACGATGAAGATCTTGTCCCTGTTACCAATCGCAGGTAAGGTACTCTGCATTGTTGCTCCTTTGTCTACCAAATATTTAGTTACAGGGTATAAGCTGGAGAGAAAGCTGTTTGGATAACTTGTTCATACGTGAAGCAGTGAAAATATAATCTGAAAATATTTAAATTTAATGGAAGGACTAACGGAGAAGTGGTCTGAATGAGGCTTGGGGCTTCATACCCTTAAAATTTTCCAAGTTCCATAGTGGAAACGCTGTATGCATACAAGTGGCATTATAATTCCAGTCATTTATAATATCCTATCATTTGTCTGTATGTGGCTTTCATCTACCTTCCATTAATTACAATTATTTGTGCCAGATGTCTGTTAAACTAAGATACCAGTATGTATTTCCTCCATCTTCTGGGCTAATCTTCAGCCTTCAATCCTAAGAATGGAGGCAGTTTATTGCTCTAAAGTATTGGTGTCTACCTGCAAGTTCACAGAGTGTTACAACCCAGAAGACCAACATCAACATGCATAGTGAGCACTTTAAAAATTATAAAAACTGTAAAGCAGGTAATTAGAAGAAAACTATGAAATTAAAAAGTTTTGATTTTATACAGTGAACACCTTTGAATATAGAATTTGTGGGAATTTTTTCTACATTAAATTCCTTTTTTGTAAAATTGTGAATAGTGAACTTTTCTTTTCCTTATCTGCAGCTTATATCATTGGATGAAATTTGTACATTTAATGGTCTGTGTATTATACCATGTTGTCTGTTTTGTTTTGACACCCTCAACAGTAAACTAAAACCTTGTTTATTGGTTAGCACAATCTTTTAACATCCTTTAAGTGTGGGAATATTTGCATGTTATAACTCTGCTGTTATTAGGTTATACTTTGAAACTAAATCATTTGAATTCTTCTTAATTTACCTTTATGTTGGTATTTTACTAAATGCAGTTTATTTGTTCTAAATTGTTTCTCTGTGCTTTGTACTCAGTTTTTATATACCATATTCATGTCTGTAGTTTTCTGCTTTGTGAAGTAACATTATGTTTGTGTTTGTGCATATATAAACTGTTTTAAAACCGTGTACTGGTATCACTGAAGGAGCAATCAGAATTATTTTGTATGTTGGAAACATTTCAAGATTACATGGTAATGTTTCAGAGAGCTGGAATCGCAACAGTTTGATATCATGAATAGTATGACAAGTTCAAAATGCCAGGAAAGGTTTTGCTTGAAAGGTACTGCTTCAGGCAGACAGAATATCACTTTGCTGAAAATATTATTTACCTCATGCATTCTCTATTACGGGGTAATTTGGTGTATTTGTTTTGCTGGTTTCTGTTCTATTTTAACCTCAGACTTGTTCTGATATACCCATCTCTTCTGTAATACATTCTGGGAAAAGGACTGTATAATGAAATTTTCTATTGGGTGAGCTGTTTTATGTAATAAAAGTGATTTAGGTTCCATGTCTAATCATTCATTGCCATCCAGATTCAGCATCCCCAAACTATGTACAGAACAATTTTTTCATTCTTCTTTTTTGTGTATATCATAATAAATAATTTCTCCTTTGTGTGGATGTTCTTGACCTCTCACATGATCCATATGTAAAGGAGTAGGAACTGCTACAAGATTCCTTACTTTATCCAGTCTGGCTCTTGTAGAAATTTAAATGCCTGCCATTGTATCTGTCCACACCCTGAAGCACATGAGACCCATTCATAGACAGTGTTCTGCAAGTGGTATATTCCATTGATGTGCTTGGAAACCTATAATTTTCCAGATTTGTAAATACTTGTTACAAGTAAGAAATCACATTTAAATTGTGGCACAAGTCTCTTCTTTCTCTGATTCCAAGAAAATTACATACAGAACACATTGCAGTTGAGAGTGATGTAGAACATTCAGTGGTAAAGTATGAAGGTGTTTTGAACTTGTTTTATGTATAGGATTTTGAGGTTTTCACAACAGTGAGTCCAAAGATGGCTGTGTTCTGGGCTGTAGCGCTATGTAGAAGTTTACCAACAGTTCAGACGTACATGCTGCCTCATCGCCTTGATTATGGAGACAGCATGTACCTCTGAAACATTGATAAACTTCTACCAGACTACACGGTACTGCAACCCAGAAGACAGCCATCTTCCTTGTATTAAGTGTGTTGCCTTCAGAGTTTGAAGTGGTAATTGGTTGGTTTCTTCTGATTCTCGTTGTGCAGGAAAGCAAATCTCTCAGAGGACATGGCTGTGCTGCTGCCAGGAGCAAATAAGTAATTACGTCTGACTTTATCAGTTGTCACATCTTCCCTTGTAATCTTTTATTCTCTTGTATTTAGAGAACTTACATGCAGATGCAACCTTACATCAAGAAAGAAATAATTTTGTTATTGGTTACATTTTAAAGAGTATGGTATATGAGGGTTTAGCATGTTTTGCATGTATATATGTGTGTAGATTATGTGTGGGTAAAACTGTATAAGATCAGAGAGGGGGTTTCAGATACTTAGATACAAAAGTGGCAGAATATAGAATGACCCTCGTTAGTCATCAGGGGTTATCTGTTTTCAAAAGGTCTGTACTGTAATTTTGTCCTTCTGAGTTATTAAATTGGTACCTTTTCACGCATTCTTTAAACAAAATTTTACATAATGGGAATGCCACGTTTATCTGTTTCTCTGAAACTAGCAGACGTATTTGAAGAAATTTGTTATTTGTGGGTCTACACAAAAAGTCATCTTGAAAAATTAATATTGTTTTGTATTGGTTCAGTATTATTCACTTTTCATCAAACTTTGTTAATTTAAAAAAAATTCTTTGTACAGTGTTTGCTTTCAAAATTGATACTTAGCTTAAAATATAGGTTATATCTTATACTAGTTTGCTTTTTGAATTGATTATGAGAATTCCTCTTCATTGGTATTTAAAATGTCTTAACGTTCCCCAGTTGTGACACATGGTTGCATCTGTGTGCAATCTCAAATGCTTCTATTTGGCTGGGCGATGGAGTATTTTGCAGCTGGTTTTCTTCTGTTGTAGGAGGTTTCACCTGTGAACATCGGGGACTCATGATGTGGCATAGAGGATGTTTGTAGTAGTTCATGTTTTACCCATTAAAATGTACACATGTCCACACAGGAAAACCAATGCTTGAATAATGCACTCTATACACAGTTTTCACAGCATGATTCAGTCAGCCACACAAAAGGAGATTTTTGCTGGAACTAGTATGGATCATTACAATAACATTTGATTGGCCTATGTACAATTGGCTCTTATCCTTCAGTCTTAACATCTTATACTATGTGCTCTGTAATAAACATCATTGCTGTTTCATTCTAATCAAATGAAAGTGAAATACAGACTTTTAATACTTTTTTAGCTTGTTGCTTTTATATAATACAGATGTTCATGTTTCCATGTGGACATTGTGTTTTAATATGTTGGTGTATATACAACTTATTGCTGTCTTGAATTTATATATGAGTTAAGTAAATTGCATGTAGTTATATCTTCCAGAACTTCACAGATGTTATGACACAGTTAAACACAAATTATGTTTGTGTGTTCATGTATGTTGTGGATTCCACATTCTAGTATATCATCATGCATGACTTGCTAAGTGAATAAACATGATGTAGTGTTTGCAGAAAGCATTATGATTTTTGAGGTATATTCAGTTCTGTATCATTCTGTAATATAGTATTTGGTTCAATTTTATATTTTGATTTATGTATAACTGTACCATAGTTACAGCATTAATTTTTCTTGCAAGTTTTGTGTTCCTTTTCATACTGACACTAACTACATTGACACTGATGCTTACTGTTGTATTCACATGCAATAGTATAATAGCATTATTTGTGACTTTCTTTGTTACTATTGCACTGATATGTTTTCACACAGAGTATTGAATATTGAGTATTGTCTTTCAGCATAGAGTATAGATTCTAGACCATTTTTGAACACAATGTAGTGTATAAAAGCCGCTTCAGCAAAATATAAAATCATGGCTTTGCCAATTGTTATATTAAAAAGGCATTTAATTCTGAAATTATTATAATTCTTAATTCCTGTCCTGAGTTGATCCCCTAAGAGAGTCAGCATCAGCAGCCACACTAATCTGACCTGGAAAGCGTATGGATCATCATCTGAATAGTCAAAATCATGAATTACTGACTTAATACATGTCAGATCCTAGTACTATCTAGCTAGCATGGTTGACATTTGAGTAAGAAAACAGGTCCAATATGTTATATTTTTATTGTAGATAAGGAAATTTTCTCATGTTTCACAGATTACTGAATGGAACATAATTATGTTGTGTATCTAGTGCATCATGCTTGTGATGCTGATTACATTTTGTGTGCATGTGTGAAGGTTCATCCATATCATTGTTAGCATTTGTTACTGCACAGTTAAATGCATTCCATGGTGTGGAACAGGTCGGAGTATGAGGCATTGTTTTCAGAAAGTACCTAAAAATACAACACAGTTACACAAACATATCCCAAGAACAAAATAGTCTGCAGTATACCTACCACATACATTCCTAAGACCAAACTGTGGATGCACCTTCTATTGCTTATATGGCAGTGTATGTCTGGTGGTTGTCTAATGTAAAGAAACTTTACCCATGTCAGATTCCCCTGCAGCCCTTACGTAATTTTTGCTCAATAAGTAATTGTATTTGAGTGTTCACATTGGCTCTATAGCAGGAAAGCTTGACTTATGCCCATTGTGTTGTATCTTATATAATCTAAGAAACCATTCTTAATATTCTAACTGAAAAATATTTTGTTACTGAGGTAGTTTTATATCCGTAAGGATGAATTCGAACTTGGTTTCTTTTTCACATAAATTGGTTTGAAGATTTAGTAGTTAGAAAATAAATTATTACCTCTTGTCAGTTAAGTTGCACTTATAAACTTACACCTCTGTCAATATTATGAGCTTAGCGTTTATATTTGTCATTTTAATTATTAGCATATGAAAGAAGTGTGAGGGCTGTTCAGTGAGTAACTTCTGAGTGTTTGATCACTCATACTTATTACATCTAGGTAGACATCGAAAAGAATGAGGAACAGTGGACAGACCCTTTATTTCTTGATGTAATCTCCAGAGTCATAAAGACATTTATTGCAGGGATAATCTATCTCTGACTTGCACAGAGAATAAGTCAAGGCTTAGTGAATCCTGAACTTGTGTCTTTGCCTCCTCCTGTTAACTCACCATTCATAATCAGTTTCACATATCTAAGTTGACACTGTGTGACTCAGACAGTTGTTGCAGCAACACTGAAGAGTCATCAAAAAGGCACATTAATATTGGTAACCAGATTTAGAGACTCTGCTTATAAGCCACATGTGAACCTGTTTTGATGTGTAATTTTGCTGAGACTGTTTGTGCTGGTGGCAGATGCTTGTGTGAGTTGGCAAAACAAATTGGATTCATGGATCAAGCACAAGATGTTTTTAAACTGGAGGATCAACTTTCTACCTTCAGGCATGTGGTGAGTGGATATCTGATACCTTAGAATAATTAAAAAATTATTGTCAAGATTTGGGGTTGGTCTTCCTTATAAGCTCTGATGCATTTACATTATCTCTGTCTGTTCTGATATTTTCATTCTGTTAATTCTTTTGCAGCAACCAGAAGTTGTCCGCCGGGACATAAAGTTTGCTCGTTCATTATCAATGGCAAAGCTGAAGTTTCCATTTCCACATATGGTGGCTGTGGTTATGAGGGAACAGAGTCATGGAGATCTGCAACTCATGTCTCAGGGTACAGCTGACATAATTCTTGACTTTTGTGTTGACTACTGGGATGGACATGACCTCTGCCCCATGTCTCCCGCAGACAGGTATGTTTGTTTAGCCAGTTTGAGGTAGGATAGCTTAATCTGTAAAGTGACAGCCTTCAGACTTGATGTGCAGAATTTAATTCTTGGAAGGGACAGAATTTTTCTCTCCAGGACTGTGTTAATATTCACTTCTCTGGAGAAAATCCAGTCTCCTGCCCAATGAAAATGGAATTCATTCCTTGGGGCTGAAGAAAGTACAATATGAAATTGACCGATCATCTACATATGGCACAGTATTGGCATCTATTTCTACAGTTGCCTCTGCCCTGCTTGTTTTATGTCTTTGTATATGTGCTGCAATTTTAACTCATCTGGTTTCACGATGTTTCTTTTGGGCCCCCCCCTTTTTTTTGTGCGTTTGTCAGAAGCTATATTTGTGTTTTGCAGAAAGAAAGTACAGGATTTCTATCAGCGTACCAGCCTTACTGCTTACTGTACAGCATTTGCGTATCGACCATTGACACGAGGAGTGAACAGTCTGTTGTCACAAGTGTATCTGGAGCTGCCTGCTGATAGTAAACACCTCTATGTTCCTCATCGGAGTCCAACACCACTTGCTTGGGACTTCCGTAATGTATTGGATCCACACTGCAAAAGCTTGCCTGGACATTTTCACTCAACAGGTACTTTTTTTAAACAGAATCTGATAGTACTGCTTTCTGGTCCTGAATGTTACATTTCATAAAGACAGTACTAAGAATTGTTTTCCTCAGGTTTTATCAGCTGTCATATGTCATAATTCTTTTTAATCTATTTCCATAGCTGATTAATTAGAACACAGTAAAATTAATTTTCCATGCTGCCAGCTAGCATATTAACATATGATTGGTGCTCAGCTGGGGCTTCATTTCTGATATGGCATTTTGCTGTACAACAAGTAAATTTAACTAAACAGCTTAACATAAATTTGAATTTAATTAATTATGTGTCAAATGTGTAGAATATATATAAAAATTAAAAATAGGAAGATGTTTACTTATGTTTTTACATGAATTCCCATTTGGCAAAACTAAAAAATGGCTAGTCGTCTGATCTATGTGAGTCAGTGGTTTTACTGTATTTAGTATACATAACTATAATGATCTGAGGAATTAGTGTGAAGCAAGCTGGAACATAAAAAATTAAGCAAATTTGAATAAAGTATAAAGGAAATTGATTTTTATACATTATATTTTTAAAAACATGCTGTTGAAGATGTATTTTTTGTATGTGCATGATCACATAATTTATTGTATACAGATTCTCTCCTGGGAAATGAGGTACATGAGGAAGATGTGAATGATGTGGAAGGTTGCTTTGAAATGCAGTGTAATCAGGTGTTTATCGGGATGGTTACAATGCAATACCAGGCCCAGATAGACATGGTAGGTATTGTGTGTCATGCTCTAGCTTCTCATTATCATCATTTATCTGCCAAAGCTATCACTACTTCGTATAATTCTTGTTCTATTGATGGTGCATTTGCCACATAAAACTTTCTTTTATGCCTGTATTATGTGCCTTAAATATTTTGCTTTCACTGATATGTCTTACTGTACCAGATCCACCATTTCACTCATATCCCAGTCACAGTAGATTATTCAGTAAAATTTGGTGTCACAGGTTCAGCTGATAGAGCAGTTGGAACGTGCATGTATTCGATTTGTTCACTTCAGTAAGGAAAATGAGCTACGGTCACGAGTTTTCTCAGAAAAGATGGGGTTGGAGAGTGGCTGGAACTGTCACATCTCACTTCTAAGCGAGCGTAACAGGTATGGCAGTCATTAATACAAGATTACTAATGTGCATGATACCTTGCATCAGGAAGTGTGCTATTTGTTGTTGTCTGTCTTAACAGCTCCTCAGAACACTGGTTCTTACGATATGTAGTTACAGAATCCTGTGTGGTATTTTTATGTAAGTCTTCGAATTTGAACCAGTTTCATTCAAACAACATTTTAAGTATAGTCCTTTTCATCAGATTAATTTCTTTTTACGTCACTGAGACTTGAATTTTTTGTATCCATTATAATCATTATCATAGTGCACAAATTTGGTAAATTTAATTACATGAAATGTAATCATTATTTTTGAGTTTAAGTCAACTAGGACCAATGTGTTTGCCCTGGATTTGGCTAGTAGGTGGTTTAATTTTGATCAGGAAATTCTATTCTGATTAATTTTTGTGCCATTTTCCATTTTCTACATGCAGATATTTTAACAGTTCCTTAAAAATGTACTACAGCAGTTTCCTATATTTTCTTTCCCAATACAGAATTCATAATTGTATCTTTTCATATTTTATGCAGTGTAACTTGTGTAGTTGGTACATCGTTAATGCATAAACTAAGAAGGATGGTCATATTAATACACGAATTTAGTCCAGTACAAAATATGACTGCTAAGTCAAAACTCAGAAATATAGTTTTTATCAGTTACTAATTTTATATCCTAGAAGAATTAATTGGAGTTGGGAATCACAAATGATTTGAACTTGCATACAATATTTCAAAATGTCATTCCATGAAACATAATTTTAGTCATGTTATAAATTTTACCAGTAGTCTGATCATTAGCATTGTGATTTAGGAAGTTAAAATCCCTCTTACAGTGAATATAAATTTACAGAATTTCACATATCCATTTTAAGAAAAATTGTAACTGCTTTGCACATATTTCATCTTATTGCCACCATACCTTGGTCCTTGCTTACACTAATTATTGAATGTGTGCATTATTTTATTAACAGTGAAATTCTATAACCTTATCTACAATAATGTGTTCTTGTACAGATAATAACATATATGAGTAGCTGATGTTGTGCCCACCTTGTCTCTGTTTGTGTTTGTGTCTGTAACCTGTTGGTGGCACCACAACAGGTCTGACAGTGGCCACTCCGAGACTATAGCTACTACTGGTGCAGCTGCCATGTCTACTGTGACAAGTGGCACTGTGCCAGCTCGTCACTTCTGTCATCTCTCTTCTTCTCCCTCATCTCTCCCTAAGTGTAACACTGACCAACCAGACAGCAACGCTGTTGGTGAACCTGTCCTCCATGAAGAGCGTGTCAGCTTGCTCAATGCTCGGTATGTTACTTTCTAGTACTTGATGCACAGATGTACCTGCACATTATTTTTTGAGGTAGTTATGTCCATCAGAGCCATAGAAGTCATTTCAGAAATATTTTTTATTTCAAATTTACCTTTATTCATTAAAATGAATGCCACAACTTGACTGAAGCCTCTTCAAGGATCTTCCAAGTAAGAAGCATTTGGAACCACTCATTTTAATTGTGGTATGGAGACAACCTATCAGTCGATGCAGAGGCTAGACGAAAAATCCTCTGTCCCCGTTGGGGATCGAACCCTGGTCGCCCAGCCCGTAGCTAGTCACTATACTAACAGAGCTATCCCAGCTCATTATTAATGCCACTTTTTTATACTAAATTGTGTATGTGACAGATTTTCCTCCTTATTCATATCATTCTCTTATGATAATGTAAGAGTTCAAAGTACTCCCTCAGTGTGCATTGCCCTGTGCAGTCATGACTGAAATGTTAGTTCTTACAGTCAAAGTGTACACAGGATGTTTGAACTGGTATAGAAAATTCGTCCATTTGAAGGTTTATATGTGATAAATCCCCACCTTATGTCCAGCCACATACTCCATCTGGCAGAAATCAGAGAAACCCAGTCATATATGTTATCTAATTGTACATCTGAAAAGTTTTGTAAACCAATAAACATATCATATTATCATATTATGTATGTATGTGTAAGAAGTACTATTAAGACATTTCTGAAAAATCTTGTTGTCTCTGAGGAGAGTATTAACAATGTTTTGTTCTTCTTGTAGCAGTAACATTGGGAACTCTCGTGCTTTAAGTTTCTCTGCTCCGAGTGCAATCAATCTGGACTTCTCTCAGGTAAAGTTTGAAGAAGAGACACGTGACTGGACTGATGAATCATTGCTCAACAAGTCCACTGTAAACCACAGGTGACTACATTAAATAAAACATACCATTATTAAACTATACACATTGTTAAAAAATAGTACCTGAATTCAGTTCTGTATATATTTCCAAGATCATGTATTGTTGAACCTTTGGGTTCTCCTACTGTAATGTTTGTTAATTAGTTAATGAAATGAGAAGATACCTTTGTGCTGTGAAGTTATTTGAACTGAGGAGGAATTTCTGGCAAATTTGAAGATGTTATCAGAGCGTTTACCTGCAGGGACCAAAAAACCATGAAAAGTCTGATATGTTGCTACTTGTGTTGTTGTAGTAATGCCTGCCTTTATTATAGCAGGGATCATCAAAGCCATGGGGAAAGTCAGGACAGTGTACTGGTACACAGCATGGAACTTACTTCTCAGCAGGATACATGGCGCTCCCTCAGCTGTCTCACAGACAGTACTGAGCAGAGTGCACCTATCAATTTCATCATGTCCAACAGGGTGAGAGTTGTTAGTTGTGAACACAGTAATTTCACTTGAATCTGATCTATTTACTAACACATTACTATTGCCTATTTTTAAAGAGGTTTGGACTATTACACCAATGGAAAATGTGTGTGTGTGTAACCACAAATTTTAATGCAGTTTTTAGATCAAATTAGCAGACACAGAAACTTCTGTTTTTAATTACCATTCCACATACCAGGTAGTTGTAACATTTGTGTGATCAAATAGTATTACCTATTAGGGCTGCAACCCTTTTGAAACAATAATTTTACTTGCATCCTGTTGATATGATTGGCCATACTTACAAGACAAGACAATGGAACTCCTTTGAGCAGAGTTCTTTTTTGAGAAGTTGATAGCTAGTTGTGAAAAATTCCTACCATTTATTGAACCCAAAGATATGTTTACAAAATATGACTTTGGTCTGTATTGACTGATTAGAACAGGCACTTAGAGTAAATTATTGTATTTGTCTTGGGATACTTTTATTTGTGGTTTATTTAATGATGCTGTCAATAGCTCAAATTACTTATCTCTAAGACTGACTGTAATATAGATTTGAGGTAATAATAAAATGGATCATAAAAGAAATGGGTGTATCTGTGTGGGTCAGCTTCTGTAGCAGTAATGTGGGCTGTGATTTGTGGAGTTAGGTATAAATCGCAATAAGATAAATATTATATTATTAACATATTTTCTCAGAATAAGCCATTTTTCATAAATGTGGTATAATTAATTTGAATGTGAAGATCACTGTGGATACCATAACTTTACACTGCTTATTACTGAGTTCAGTCTTGCATACACTTGTCATATCTAGTTAACATGCATAAAATTTTCATTCAGGTCTTCATGGTGTAATTCAGATGAACTGCCACTAGCTCACCAGTTATTTTAATTATCATAAAATCATGTGCATGAGAAAGGTTTATCCATCATCTGTACTTAATACCCAAAAACTGAAAGATTTGGCAGCCATAAATGTGGTGATTTCAGGCAAAGCTGCCCCGAGGGATTGACAAGATACGCCCCCACCTAGAGCAGATAGATAATGTCCCTTTATTAGTATCACTGTTCACTGATTGTACTCCTTCTGTGACCCGAGAAATGCTTCATATCATGCAAGAGTATGGGGAAGTAGTCTGTGTCATTGGTTCTTCTGCCAATGCAGACAACATGGCTATCTTTCTCCAAGCAGATGCAAGGTAAGTACGAGTGCATAATGTCAGACAAGTTTGTCTGTGTAACCTTGCAGAGGGCAGTTGTATGATATTGTGTATGAAATATACACATATTTTTCTTGTATCCTTTCAGCTCACCATTTGAAAATTTACTGTGTGGATAAAGTTGGTACTCAATATTCTTCATATTCTTTCTGAAATTCCAATGTTTGCTAACTGTAGCATGTTGCTATAGTTGATAAATCAGTGGTCCTGGTCATGTCTGAAATTTCAGTATAATTTTACTCCCCCAAGTTGCTGACTGCCAGAAACAATATTCACTGTAGAGACGTGAAATCTGTGCACCATGTGTCTTTTATATACCATATGAAGAATTGAAGAGTGGTATAAAAGCATGGAGATATTAATTAATTAATTATCATTTTATTCTTGCAGCTAGTAGCTAGGTGAGATGGTTTAATAGGAAGTGGAGTTCATGATAATTATAAATGTTTAAATAGCTATGCTCTTGAACATTATGACACTGATAAAGAATTGTATCCATATTTTCTCCTGCTCAGTGCATGAATGTATATTTATGTTTTTCTTTGTTGTGGTATAAATAGATACTTTGTGATGAACCATTTGCCCATCGAAGGAGTCCTACTAACTGCCTGCAGGATTCACTATTTCACAATTAATTCTGAATCAGAACAAGCCAGAAGGTATCATCTTCTCAAGGACTCTGCTTCATAGAGTTAGACTGCTGAGATGGTTCAGTAACCTGGACACGAATATTTCTGTTATATATTTTGGATACCTAATTGTCTGTTTTCTTGGATATGGGTTATAGTGCATTTTCCTCTGTAGCTTGGCAGTAGAGCCTCTGTACCCACAAGTGTGCCAGAAGGTGGCCGTGTTCAAAGAGACTACACCTGATCAAGGACCATCACCTGTTGAATTGAGTCGCAGTCTCAACTCCATTGCGTGCTCCATCAGTTTTCGGAGGGAGGATCCTATTTCAATCTTCCACCTCATCTTGGAGGTGAGTTACTTGTGTTTAATTTAGTAATGATTATTATTCCTATTTCATGTTGAGTGTATATAAAATTCATCTACATGTGTATCTGTCGCCCTCGGTGGACTAGTAGTTAGCGTGCCATTGGACCCAAGGTTTGCGGGTTCAATCCTGGCCGAGGTTGGTGGATTTTTAAGGGTGATAAAAATCCGTAGCACAACTTCCTTTGGAGGGGAAGTAAAGCTGGCGGTCCCATGTTGTAGATTTATGGCATATAAAAGAACCTTACGAGCATGATACGAGATGTTTCGTAAGCAAAATTCAGCGTCCATTTCTCACCCAAAAGTCTCCTGATTAACTGCTAGATGGCTGTGGTAGTCAAATCCGGATTGAGTAGAAATTGTGCAGAGTCAGTGGGCTAGTCACTCACTACTTCACGCACGACCAAGACCAAGAAACCTCCAAAAAGGAGGCGGCAAAAACCCACAACAGGGCTGTAATGCCAAGAAACAACAACATCATGTGTATCTACAAATTCTCTGTGGAATATTCTTATTTGTTAATAGTTACAAACATAATTAAAGTGTGAAATTTTGAGGTTATATTGGTCAAATTGCATGTAGTTGGAATTTGTATAAGTGAAGATCATGCAAAATATTCATTTATAGTTTATGCCAGCTTTGCCATACAGGCTGAAGCATTGTAAGGGAAGAAGGCTTCAGAAGTTCTCAAAACTTCTTCTTTCTCCCCAGCTTATCTGATTTCAGCATGTCTGTGTGCCTGTGTTACAGTCACGCCATTACATGCAATGTGTGTGGAACTGTGTACAGTTCTGGGTGTGCTGTGGTGTGACAGTGAGTGCAGTACAGGTGCTAGGGATCTTCCTAATGCTGCCACCCGTCCTCACAACAGGATCTGTGCTGTGGTTGGTATGCTTGGTTGTTCCTCTCCTCTCACTCTCATTGGTTGCCAACTCAACTGACCCACAAGTCATGCAACGTGCTACTGGCAAGAATCAGTGTGTTGTTAACTCACAGGCAAGTCACTTTTTACATATGGATGGTTGCTAATTGATTCTGAATCTATGTTTTACAGCTCACATTTTTGTTTATTATGGTGATAATAGATGTTTTGTGAGGTGGCTCTTGTGGGAATCTAATCAGTAATCTCCATCTAGTGTCTATATTAAGAATGCAAGAATGTGTGGAGGTTTTCCTGCGCTCCCCCATACATCTTCATGGCTTCATACTCAAGTTACAAAATGTTTATACATGTATTTCATAGTATTTTCTGAAAACTCTTAATTCTTTACCGTGGAAGGATGTAGAAAGTATAATTCAATAAAGTGATATATTTTTACTTTGAAAAAATTATCAGTTATAGGTACATTAACCTATGAATGATTATATACTGCTAGATAGCATTAATACAAGTTTTAAGTTGATCATAATCGAATATTACATTAAAATTACTACTTTAACCATATTCAGTACAGCAAACTTATTCTTTTAGCTATAACATTATTTTCTACACAAACATTTGTATTTGTAGTTAATGTACTATTTCAAGTGTTATACACACATGATTAATTTGTTATTGACCATTGCCTGTGTTCACAGGTTTCTATGTTTGTGCTGTGGTGCTATGGTTCTAAGTTCCTGCCAACTGTATTCATAGTTCTACTGTTTTATGCTGTTACACTATCTTGTTTCTGTGGTGAGATAGTTGTCAGTACAAACACAACATGCACCATGGTGTATCCCTTGCCATCTATCAGCATTCCACAAGAACTGTGGGGAGGCTGGGTCAGACATCAGTACAGTTTGCTTACATCACAACATGCAGCACTTGCGCTTTTAGTGCTCCATTTTGGTAAGACAATTTTTGTGAATGTATTTAGCATTTTAATGTGTGTGTATATAAAAAGTATAAATACTGAATTTTTGCTTAACAAAACCATTCATATGTTTCCAGCCTTGCTTGCCATACCACCTTTGTACTGTGTTGTCTGTTGTATACTGACTGTACTTGGAGCATTAGTCAGTTCTGTGAGTTTTATTGCAAACCTTGTCTGCCATCATGACTTCCAAGAATTTGTCAACTTTGCTGTAATAATAATACATATACAGGTAATCCTGAATTTGCGCCGATTCAAAATAAAGCCGCTTTTGAAACCAGCAAGTCAAAAAATGAAAAAAAAAAATTTTACTATTATTTATAACGTTTTACAATGTTTCTCATACTGATTCTTATACTAAATCATAATTCTTACATCACTGATTTTGAATAAAAATTATAAATACAGTCACCTGTGCACTCATTGCTAAGTAGTTGCGAGATAATCTCCTAAAAATCTGCCAACATTGCGCAACAGTCACATGAGCATTGGTCACTCTTCACGGTGAGTCAATTGCGTTCAGCCTCATAAGGGAGTAAGGAAAAAATGCGCCCAGTTTGCTTCTTGTTGACACATTGAATGTGCTGAAAACTGTGTGCTAAACGTGTTTGTGTTGTTGTTGTTCGACCACTATTCTGCAGTAGCAACTGTTCTATATTTATAAATTGTAGGAGAGCCACCATGTCTGGTAAGAGAAGTGAATGTGTTGCTAAAAAGATGCGTAGGTCTATTGCGTTAGAAGATAAGATGGACGTAATTCATAGAATAGAAGGTGGTGATACCCGTCGTAATGTGTGCAGAAGTATGAAGTTGCCTCCTTCCACTGTGACTATCATAATGAAAAATTCATATAAAATAAAACAGTCAATGCAACAGGTTATGAGAGTAAGTGCAATGCAAGTGAGTTATAGCAGAAGTAAGAATGGAGAAATTACTGTTGCTATGGGTGGATAACATGAATCGAAAAAAACATTTCCTTGACTGAAATTGCTATCACAGATAAGGCAAAGTCAATTTTGAGGAACTTAGGTCGTCAATGTTTGGGTGCCGGGAACGCATATCATTCACTTCCCATTGATTTACATTATAAAAAGTTTTAATTTACATTGGTTCGTCCAGGAATGCATCCCCGGCGTAAATCGAGGTTTACCTGTATGTGTATTATTACTCTTATTTATATATGTATACCATATTAAGCATGTGTCCTCAGGTTGTGAGTGGAGTGGAGGATAGACTCTAGCTATGGAGGTTGGTAGAAAATATGATAGGGAACCTTCATGTTATATCAGAGGTTCCCAAACTTTTATACCTTGCGCCCCCTTAAAACATTTCATAAATTTCATGCCCCCTTCCAGAACAAGTGCAAGCAAACAGATTTGACATAAAATTTAGCTATGAGTATAAATTTTTATAATTTAATATGTATTATTCAGTGCATTTAATTTTAAAAAAACCGTAATATATGCTTCATACCTGGATTAGTGGGATGGATGTGGTTGCTTCTGTGAACATAACTTATCATACTGAGTTTGGAGTTTTGAAATGACTGCTGTAAGGTCGTTTTCCAGGTTCATCGTAGAACGATACTTTGTTTTGATGGCTACCACTGCTGAAGTGCCTCAATCAAGCGAAGGCTGTTAAAAATGTTTCTCCATATTTCGTTAAAAAAAGTTTTTCATACAAACAACACCCCCCCCCCCCCCCCAGGGGGCGCCCCCCACACTTTGGGAACCTCTGTGTTATATAAAAGGGGGAATTTCTGGAATAGCTGAGCAACTATTAGTTTTAAAGGATTCTTCTCCATGGAGTTAGTTACTTAGCAATGGATTGGTAATGATGTGAGAGATTTAAAAGTAATAATGGAGATATTATAGAATGATACAAAATAACATCAAGACTAGCATTTGTATATAAAATAGTCGAACAGGTTACAGCATGTATCAGACTAAGAACTGTAATATGCAGGTTAAATGTGTGTACACATTTATGAACTTAAATTGATAGGATGGTAACAGTGATCAGTATTGTTATGCCTGCAGTTTGTTTAACAGACTGTTCATACATTTCAGTGACCATATCAATAAGCTTTGTGGAACGTGAGTACTCAATCTGGCATAGAAGCCCACACCACAACAGGGTTTGGCTACTGGTTGTGATTATCACGTAAGGATATTTTAAATTCTGATATGTCCAATGCATGACTTTTTCAGATTCATAACATTTCATTGGTAGTGAAGAAAAGTGGGACATATGGCTCTGTTTTAACCAGTATTCATGTTAAACCTTATATGAACAAATGTATTTATTTTTTGTTGTTGTGAAATGTTATGAAAAATGTAACTGTTACAACAGGCACAGAACTGTTCCATCTATAACATATAGCATGATTTTGCATGCAACAAAAAATTTCTATTTAGTTTAGGAATATTTTTTACCATGAAAGTCAACAACATAATGAACAAGAAATAATGTCAGACAATCATTGCAAGAGCAGAGGATATATAAATTATATTTTTATATATATTCTTTTCATTGCATATCACACTTTATATTTTACCTCTGCAGGATAAGCTTGCAGATTATGTATACTGGAATCTCCCTGTGTAGTGATGACAGCTCAACACAACTTGGTGTAGGACACATTCCCTGGTATGTCCTGACTCTTGGCTTGCTGTCATCAGTGCTCATCTTTTTAATTAATGAACTGGTGAAACAAGAAGAAATCAAGTAAGTTTTAAAGTAACTGTGCTTGCAAAATAACTATAGATAGCTCTTATATATAACATATTCCCATAAAATGAAGTACAAACATTTGGGTCCCTTGATTTTGCTGTTTGAAGATTTTGTTGTTGCTTTGGCATTGGTGATAATCTGTCCTGCATGCACACACACATTGTATTCCTCTGTGACTTTGTAGAAGATTGCTCCTGGAACTACCAGTGACCTCTTCAATTTTCAAATATATTTTTGTGAGAACTTTCAGGCCATTGTTGGCTTATTTTAGCTTGTCCCTACAAAGGGGTGAGCCTGGCCACTGGATAAATAGAACTCAAAACTCATCTGATATGCATATGGTTATACAGTATCTGGGGAACAGTTTTTACTCACAATAAAAGACATGTGAATTTTATATAATAAAGGTTAAAACCATATGAACGCTGTTATATTTCACTTTCACAACCTGAGATTTCAGTTACTCGTATGTCACCAAGGTCAGTGTAACATGTTTTATCATACTTTGTTTTCATTAACCTAAGAGCAAGATAATGGACTATCTGTTTGCACCTGCATAGGCTTGTCTTTATTTTATAATTAATTGCTGTATATGATTTATAACTATTTACAGTGAAATTATATTGATGTGTTTACAGAGCAAACGTTAGATACCAGAAACGAGCCCGTCTGGAGTTTGGAACAAAGTTGGGAATGAACTCACCATTCTAGAGGGTTCTTGTCTTTTTAAAGTGATGGCTGCAAGCTTGTGCAAATGTGTGTTAATGTTGGATATAAGTTGTGGTGTTCTTTTTGTCAAGAATTCATAGGTAAATAAACTGCTGTCTGGCACCTGCATATTAGGAATCTGAAAATGTGTTAACTGCAGTCAAATGCATGTCAGCCGTTCAGTCCATCCAACATAACCAGAATCTGCTTCTTTTAGATCCATTTAATATCATCCTGATTATATCTGCAGCACCTTTGTGATATTAAACATGCATATATATGTTGTGGTTACGAGGGGGCATTATTAAATATCTGCATTTTTATATAGAATGGACATAATATTTTGTGTTTGCATTTTATAACAAATATGGACATGAGGGAGGGAGGATATGAGATAATATGAAAATGGTGTAGTAATTTACAGCCTGTATTTCCCAGGGCCTGGTTACAATTGATGGTGATATAATTATATTCACTGCTGTTGATTATTTCCCACTGGCCTGGGCTGTATAAAATGTAAACAGTGCTAGAAAGAAAAGAAAATGTTTGTATTATTTTGTAACCAGGACTTTTGAAAGTCAGTATGTTAACAGCTTAATAATTGTACATAACACATTTGATTGCTAAACAGAGCATGGTGGTAGGATGAATGTAACTCAGCTGATTGTGAAAAACTGAGGCCAATATGTTCTAGTGTGGTAAGATGGAAAGAAACAGCAGAAATCTAATGTTAACACTTTGTGCCCTAATTTAAATGACTCTCTGATAAATAGATATGATAAGAAACAACAAAAGAGTTAACAGAAAATTTAATATATGACCATTCCTCACCAAAATTCAGGATAAAATAATAGCTAATTTTTGCTTGAAGATCTGGCAAGGTTAAAACTTTTAGGAATCTCAGTAATAAATTACAACTGCATTTACTAAGAAATTAAGAGAAGAATAAGTTTGGAGAAAGCTTGGTACCATTCAGTTTAGAGTCCTTTGTCTTCTTGTCTAAATGTAATTAAAGTTGGTGCTGGTGTTTTAAATATGTGATGCATGTGGGAGAGTGAAAGTGTAACTTAATACATTCTTAAACTCAGCACTGAAAAGAAGTGAGTGGTTAATTTAATGCCTCATTCGCTTTGCCCTGAGGGAATACTTGATTTTGAAGGACTCTGCTCCACGAGTTACTTAGTAGGTTATACCTGGTTTGTTATAAGTATTCTCATAGACAACTTAATTATGCAATCTATCTATTGTGTCCTATAAGCCATTATTGCTGCACTCTCATGGTTGTATTTCCACTTCCGGTTCTTACAGCGACCATGAAAAATATGATGTCCAAAATGAAATTGTGGCAAGTTGTATACCTCTTCGTACGTCATGATAACTGAACACAAGAGGGACATTTTTCGTGTTCATTATTGTTAGAAGTTATGTGTAGTTTGGTTCTGCAGTCTATTGGTTGTTTCATGAACGAAGTTGAATATGTCAGATATTTTCGTACTGTCATGGTTGCAATTCCGGTTCCATATTATAGGGAGTAAGGATGTCCTAAATGATTTTGAGTTATGTATACCCCTTCACACTTCATAATAACTGGATATAAGATTGCTATTTTTCGTATTCTTTGCCATAGGAGTCTTGTATATTTTGGTTCTGCATTGTACTTGGTTGTTTCATGAACTACACTGAAAATGGCTGATATTTTCGTTCTATCATGGTTGCTATTGTGTTACGTAGGGCGACTATGAAAAGTTTGATGTTCAAAATAACTTTACGACAAGGATATACCTCTTAATGCTTCATGATATCCGGATACAAGATCGCCATTTTTCCCCCCCATTCAATACTAAGTTGGCTTGGATTTGCCATCTACTCACTGTTTATGAGCTAATAAAACGTCATGTCTGTACTTGCTGTGTCTCCAATTCCGGTTCCTGAAGGGGATTATGAAAATGATGATGTTCAAAGCAGCATTACAGTACCAGTTACCTCCTGTCATGTGATTATAGCCGGGTGCAGGATCTCGATTTTCTATGTTCGTTTGTGGTAAGTTGAAAGAGGTATTTTTTAAATAATAACTAAAAAGTCATTTATTTATTGTGGTGCTTTACAACAGTCAAATGACCAATTACTGGCATGCACTAAAATAAAGAACACAATGATAGATCTGGTCTCCTTGCAAATTGTTTGATAATTATCTCACTGAACTACAACATTTCAAACAGATTTGTAGATTTAATTAAATCTATGAGATTTGAGATTTTCACTGTTGTGGGCAACAACTGAATTTGCGTCCAGGTCTGCCATGGTGGCTAAATTTAATTTTATAAACAATAAATTAAATTGTGTACAATTAACTTCAAGTATGTAACTACAGAAAAGGCCACAGTCAAAGGCTAGCCCATTTTGTTTTTCCAGTGTCAGCATGCTGTCTTGACACATTCCTAACAAATGTAGTCATAGGTAGCAGCACAGCATAAGTACAAGTGAGTGCAAGCCACCTGCCTGAAGGTAAATGTGAAGTACGCTCCTCTAGGAAATGAAAAATTATGTATTGTTGAAGTCTTGGGCATAAATTTGCAGTCTCTCCACTTAAGGCAGAAGCATCAGCCTCTTTAAGCAAGTTATGTAAATTTTGTGAGTTATTACTGTTCACTGCTTTCTTAAAAGTGCAAAACTATAATTCAGAAACTTGAGAGTGGCCTCTTTATCATGATTTATTCTCATATCATCCAATGTCAAACTGTGTGCCCGACTGCCATTGTACCTTTAGGACTTCCCACTGACAAGGTGAACAACCCTGGAGGATTCAGAGTAATATTTGATGTAAGCTCAGCTCAGCTCAGCTCTCTTACTTTAAAACACACACAGTGCATCCAGAAATATAGTTCAAAATTTATATTGTTTACATTAACTATGGCCCAACTGGACACGTCTCAAAAATTGTGCAATGTGTTACTTTGGTTCTGAACCTTCTATTAAAATGTCCTGGCTCCACCTTTGTTATACAGTAAATTTAAAAGTTTACCTTTTACTGGCAAACATTTTTCTTAACTGAATCTAACAGCATCTTTGCCATTATTGTCTTGGTTTCCATTTACACAATTTACAAGAAAGAAGATGTTCACAGTGATTGCCTATAAGTGATTTTATTAATTTTTTGCAAAAAAACTCTATGAAAGAAACAACTTCTTTGTGAAGATAAAGGATGGAGCCCAACCTAGCCTCTTATCCCATGGATACAGGGGTTCTTTCCTCAGGGTATGAAGCTGACCACTCACCTACATATTTAGTGCTGAGGTTAAGAATGTGTGGAGCTATGCTTTAATTCCATGCTTAGTCAAGCACTACAGACAACTTTACATTTATTGAAAAAGACACTGTTCTATCCTTTAGGTAAAGCTGCCACTGGTAGTGGCACTTTGTAGTCTTGTGGATGGTTATTGCTTTACCCTGAAAAAGAAACACACCTCCAAAACATTGGCAACAACTTATGGTAGAGCGATGCTTGTTCAACAAACAAATGTCAGTACTGTAACGTTATCATATCATCTACCATACTTGCATGATTTGCTGAAAATAATAATCTCTTAGAAAGGATGTAATTTTAAAACAGTTATAGAAATTCAGAGCAATGTAATGACAGTACTAAAAGAATTTCATTAAATTGTTTCGAGCTGTGTTTCCAGGTATGGCAGAGACACTGGAATGAATGCTTAAAGTCAGAATTCAAGAAGTTTGTAGGTGACTACGCTGCTAAGGATGACAGGAAGAAAATATAAGAAACTTACATTCAGGCTTCAAATATTAACTTATCAGTAATTTTAATAGTCCATTCACACAATAATAATTACATAATTAATCTTATTAAAAATAATGACACACACTAACAAAGTACTAATATAATAACATGGTGCTTGTACAGTTATTGCAGTTTATTTTTTAGTTAACTTTTTCCACATGTTTGTTTTTCAATATCTTCTAAATGCAAGTTACTGTAACACCTTTTGCTCTTCACTGTTTCATTTTAATAGCAAAAATGTTAGTTTGGAAAATCATATTATGGCCCTGCAAAAGGCAGTGTAAGGTTTTCTGGGCATCCCAAAACATCCTAGCAAACAAAAATATCTCTCAAAACTCAATAACAATAATGGGGGGTGGGGGGCACATCAACCAATACAGATCAATTCAAAGTATTGTTTCAGTACAATCATGTGTATTAATCAAATTCACCCAATTATTTAGTTACAGCATCTGATTGAAAAATAAGAACTATACTATTGAATGCTGTACATCATACCCACACATCTAATGCTATTAGGCCATTACTATGTTTTCATGCCCATCTAGGAGCCTCAGCCTACACAAAATTTCTGTAGTCATGTGGTCACTTCTCCTGTTGTTTAAACATGATAGGATTCCTGTTCTATATTAGAAACATTCAGAGATGACATCATTTAAAAAGCTGTGTCCAAAGGGAGGAGGAAAGGTGGGGGCTGAGAGATCTGGAAATTTCAGTGGTTGAAAACCACGGCCAAATTGTGTCACTTTTCAATATAGAAACAATCACTGATTTGTACGGCAGCAAAAACATATCAGGCATAAGGCTGGTGAATCTCACAGCATGTGAACTGGTTTATTGCAATGAATTTATGCACATTTTGGTCTGTAATGAAATGGTCTCTAAATTGTTGTACCTTAAATATTGTTCTATTGTCATGAGGGAAAACAGTACAATAATTTGCTGCTAGTGCAATCTGTAACATACAGTAAACATTTGCTGTGTAACAAAGAAAGGGTACAAGTCGATGTTTCTGTTAGAAAAAATGAATCCTGTTCATGAAAGGTTTTATAAACAATATGACAGTTTACTTATTGAAGTTCACTTACTGAACCATGCTACTTCAAGATCCTTTCCCCATTATGAATATTTTTTCAGTATCTTAACACATGTTATAAAAAATATGTAGTATGTCTGACAAAAAATACAGCTTACATAAGCAAGTTTACAGGGGCAGGAAAATTACTGTTTAGTAAAATAATTACCATGATTAACTTTATCTTAATGTTTTCTGAATCTAGGTACTCCACAAATGGTGAAAGAAACTTTTCAATGCATTTGCAGAGACTGAGATAACTACAGAATGTACCAACATAATGGTCCAGAGAAAAATAAGAGGGAGGTGAGTACATTTTTAAATTTCTTTTGAAGAAACTAAGTAGGATTGTTTTTGAAATGTTTACTTACAACAGATCATATCATTTTAATGACATATCAACTTCTTGATATACTGAGCAAAGAATACATTAGCAGACTGGAATAATACAAAGCAGGAGGAAACTGAAAAAGTCTGCCCCAGCACAGCTTAGTGGAAACTGAACCTGAATATGTTAGCTAAAAGGCCTGTGTTCTAAACATCAGAAACAGTATAGCTTTCTGTATCCCAATCTCAACATGGGCATGCATTAATCCACTCACACTATCTATCAATCAAAAGTTCTAAGCAGCATATTAAATACATGTAAAATGGTAACATTCACTGTGGGGATATCATGCTATTAGCATAATTAAAAATATGCTCTGCTCTCCATGTTCTCTTTAGACAATTTGTTAGCAAAGCGATGTGGACCACACGACACACTCCTGTCTGGATAAGAGACCCCTCATGTGAAATATGACAAGAACATAACAAAAGTTAGTTAATAATTTCTACATGTAAAAGTTTTAATTTTTATGAACAAAATTGTCACAGCATTGTTCTTCAGGAAACCTATCATGACTGGAATGTTTATTTTTTCTATTTTAAACAAAGACTTAATACTCTTCCATAAACAGTGATCCAGTTCATAAGTTGACAAAAGCTGATAGCTGGTAAAAGGCAAACTTTCTGGGCATATCTCTGAATGTTTGTACAGTTTAATGATGATGAGCAGAACTGTTACTTTTGTGATGCAAGAATTATAAACTAAACTATATCACCCCTTCATCAGACAGATCAAGGACTTCACTTACAAACTGTGATACATTGGTAGTTCGCTCTTGATGTATCTGGATAAATTGGTGTAAGAGCAGTTGATTGTAGTTGGGACGAGCTGTATAACCTTTCTGCAGACTGCAACACACATATATATATAAAAAATTAGCACATGACAGTTATATCAACTCCTGTGGCAAATAAAAATAAAACTTACTGTAATCATCATATCTCTCAATTTTTTGAAAGAGGAAAATTAATTACAAAAATTGTTTTAATTAGTTCATTTCGGAGAATTACTAAAACTTTTTAATTTCCAAACTCTAACAGTTACAGATTTTGTCAAACTCTGATAGTTACTATTTTACTTTTGACTGAGTACAATTTTCTGACCTACTTACTACTTACCACTGACTGATGAAGTCTTCAAATTCTGGTGAAAACTCACCAGCTGGAAGTCTAGGTGGATCATCTTTAACAACCTGTTTTAGTTGCTCAAATGGTGTCCCCCATATGTTGTAAGGAAACCTCAATGTTGCTAGTTCTAACAACGAGATGCCCAGGCTCCATACATCTGACCTGATGTCATACTGGGAAGGATTACCAGAAGGATCTATTCGCTCAGGCTGTATGAGAAAAGAAATATTGGCATGAAGATGGCTGTCTTCTGGGTTGTTGCACCATTTAGTCTGGTAGAAATTTACTGATGTTTCAGAGGTCCTAGGTGCCTCCAACATCAGGGCAATGAGTCACTCATCACCCTAATGATGGAGGCAGCAAAGACCTCTGAAATGTCAGGAAATTTCTGCCAGACTACATGGTGTAACAACCCAGAAGACAGCCATCTTCAGACTCACCACCATGAAAACCTCAAATCCTACAAATATTGTTATCGCTTCATCAGTCTGCTTAATTTAGTCATGCTTATAAGACTATATAATCCTTCTGTCCAATACTAGATACCAGTATATTAAAATAATTTAACTTATTTCTAAAGACATGGTTCTTAACTTAACAAAAAATCTAATGTGAACATTAACAAATTAACCTACTTAAATAGTTTTCTCTCCGATTTTTCTTTTAGTTTGACAATGATATTGCCAGAAATCTGAAATTGTAAATTTTGTTAACCCTCAATTACTTAGGCACTGCAATGTTGGTACAGAGTGCAAGAAACACAAAATGTCACGACACTGCAGAAATCTGTAATGTAAATAAAAATAGCAACACATAAGTGAAAAACTGTTATTACATTATTGTTTACTGCTCTTTAGAAAAGTGAAGAGTCAAGGCATTGTTAGCCGAGACATTAAAATATTTACCATTAGTGCATAAAGGACAAAAGCATAAAAATATGATAACATTATCAATGATACCTGTACTATGCTATACTTACAGCCATGTAAGGCTTGCAACCAGCATCTATTGTCTTCGCTACTGAGTCAACTAAATACCCAGATATACCAAAATCACAAATTTTCACCTCCCCCATTCTGTTAATGAGTATGTTGGAAGGTTTAACATCACGGTGGATCACTCGCAGTTCTGAATACAAGTAGTGCAGTGCACTCACAACCTGAAAAGTGAAAGAAAAACTGTTGCTACATACAAGCTCTAGCAATTATTGAAGGATGTCCATGAAGACCACATACCTGAAAGTAAATTACAGTAATTATTTCTTTGCTACTAACAGAGCTTTACTTATGTACCATCATAATTCTTACTATTTGACTGTGATTTAAAACAGATATCTTGAGGGTGTAAACTGGAGCAAGGCAGCTCAATAATTCCTGAAGTAATTAATAAATATAGTTGGTGCTACAAAATTATTTAAGGACAGTGTATAATAAAATGAGAATTTATATGATGCTTATGAAAATGGATTATTACTTTAAAAAGATTATAGAATTGACTTAATATTCTGAAATTTGAAACCAATGTTTACCTTAAATGTTAATTTAACCACAATGAATGGCTTTGGACTAAGCAGGAAGAATACTTCCTTATAAACATAGTTGAAATAAGGTGAATGACATAACTTCTCTTCAGGAAAATCCAAACCATTGATCCAGATATCTCCCACAGGGCCCAAAAACATCCCTTCACTCTTCTGATATTCTTACACAAGTGTCTTGGTAAGTCCTTAATCTGGCAAATATTAGTGTCCTCATCTAGTTTATATTTTTGAACATTAACAGCAAAACTACTGACACATCCAAGTGTAATACAAACAACAGAGTGAAACTTACAGCAAAGGCAATTTTTCCAAGAATATCCTCTGGTATCTGGCGTCCATGATGGCACACCTTTGTATAGAACTTGTCAAGGCTTGTGTCCATAACCTCCATACATATCCAGACATCTCCTTCACGGAACAATGCCCCATAAAATTGTACTGTATAGGGGCAGTCAGATGACCGCATGGAAATGTCCAAATCCATCAACAGGCGTTTTTGCTCTTGGGTATTTACAGTTGCTGCTATCCTCTATAATATAAACACTTAACTATTCAGAAACTCTCATTTACATACAAACAAAATGGTGACACTGCTTTAACTTTAAGGTTAAGCAGCAACTCTCACTAGTCTATATGGTTCAAAAGTATTATTTTGGGTTTTAATTTATAAAGAAGTCCCAATATTAGACTTATTCAAAACCTGCAGGTAAGGCATAACATTTCTGAAGTATGAACTTGAGGTTTCATATAAAGTGATAGCCAAATCTACTCAATAAAACCAAAATTTAATCTCCACAACAAATTTTAGTAATGGCTACCTATATAACTAGAGCAGGTTTTTTTTATATATAATCAGGAAAACGGTGACAATAAGCACAATTTACTAATTAAAAATTCAATATATTTACTTCACCTGTCACATATACAGTTTTTCTCATTATAGTGCTACATAGAAACTATTGAAATAAAATACAGTCTGATACAACTAGTTAATGTTCCTTGATGAACAGATTTCAAAATGTGATTGTGGTGAAACATTTGGGATATTTCCTGCAAAAATTGATTTATTTTAATTTCATTAATGGTTTAAAATCTTAAAACTTTTTATGTTTTTATCTTTTAATGGTGTAACTAATTGACATTGCAACTTAGAGGATCTTATGAATATTTATTTGAAGATTTCTGTCTTCTGGGTTGTTGCGATGTGTAGTCTGGTCGATGTTAACCGTCATCATCGCCCTGATGATGGAGGAAGTATGACCTCTGAAACGTTGGTTAACCTCAACCATACTACACAGCGCAACAACCCAGAAGACAGAAATCTTCATACTCACTGCTATGAAAACCTCAAATCTTATAGAATATTTATTTCATTGACCTGATGATGGAAATATAACTTCTGAAGCATGTTGTCTTAAGTGAAAAGAAACCATCAAGTAACATTAAGTAGCTGCATCTGACTGTTTTATTTGAATAGTTTTTTTAAAAAAACATGATAACATTACTACCATATGTTGCTACATGTTTTGCCTATAGTAATGTGATGTATGTTAGATGAATTAACAATAATGTTTATGTTTTTTATTGGTGACAATATTATGGAAAAGATAGTCAATATTATATAATGTTTCTACAGATGCAAAGGTATTACACAATATATGAAAGACATGTAATATTCTGTCCATTAGAATAAATTTCTGATTACATTTGATACTGGGTCCTTGTCAGAAGGCTTGCACATGATTTAGGAAAAATATAGGGTACTTTTATTTATAAATTCCTCACATGCAGTTTATTTTAAGTTGCACAAATGTAAATAAGGCACTTAAAACTAATGAATTGAAAATGTTTATAAAGTTACTTTAACAGCCATAATAGTGCCGCTAGGAATGTGTCGCATCTTTTCAACTATGCCATAGGCTCCCCGCCCAAGGTCACATATTTTCTCCAGGTCATCCGCCTCAACCTCAAAAGTCCTCTCTCCAATTGTAATTGTTGTACGTTTGTCCAAATTTCGTGGTGGTGTGCTGTAAAATAATTGATACCTAATAAAAAGCTTAGCTAAATACTGTTATACCATTTCAGAATTAAGTTGGAAATTCCTATATTATTCATAACTTCATTACAGTAAAGCTATTGTTTGTGGGATTTTAACCGTTTTCCTACGTGATGAAGACAAATTTCAGGATACCTTCTTTGACCCACCAATATCAACTGAACCTATATCCAAACATAGAACTGTAACTCACTTCTTTGAATCCAAATTCTTTCTAACACATTTTTTAAAATAGTATGATCACAATTCTGAGAATGGCAGGAAACTGCTTTTACCTACAGAGCTGGCCATTATTGATGTCTTATCAAAGACATGCAAGACAGATGTTTATTCAACCCACTAAATTCTCATTTAAATGGCCCATTGCTTCGCCTGGGCATCCATTTAAATGGCAGGATCACGACAGAACATGGCCCATCATGGTATAGCTGTATGGATATTATGGCTACCCGTAAGTAAATCTTAATATTAAACCCCAGTGGATAAAATTAGGGCAATTGTTTTAATCGCAATAAACATCAAAACCAGAAGCTAACATATCTTGAAAATTTAATGTTTAGTCCATTTAAATAATGCAGACAATTTGAATTTCCTCCTTCCATTGAAGCCACACAATTTTCCATTATAATCAAATTAATTTTGTAGTATTTAAGTATGAAAAGTGTGTGAAAATAACTCACACTGGTGGAACATCTTCAGGTACTTTCAGCTTTAACCCTCCCTTCTTCCTCGGTGTCCGACCTTTTAAAATATACATCCAACATAAAACAGTGCACACAGAAAGTCAAAACAAACAAAGCTCAAAAATCAATACATCAAAAGTGTTTCCTTTTCTTACCTGCCATTATACAGCCTCTCCTGGATGAACTACCTGAATACAGCAATTACTTCAAGAGATGTTCCTAAAATTCAGCTGATATTTACCTATGCTGTCAAGATAGCACTGATGGACAATGTTATGTCCAATCATAAAGATAAAGTGGTTTTCCATGTCATGGCGAATATAAACGTTTCACTGATACCTCGACGAAGAATATGAACCACCACAGCGAAAGTGAATGTTTTGGTTCCCCGAAGGCTCAGGTCTGTCGTCCAAATTACCAAAACATACTAACCTGAAAAATGTTTACAATACTTTTAAATATGTTTAAGAAAACTTGGTATTATTTGAACTTTACACTAAGGAGGCAACAGCATGAGAGGTGACTACAGACAATTCACAGAGTTTCATTACACACAAAATTAGTTTATTTAGTCCGCGGTGCTTAAACTCATAAAGATAAATAGTAGCATCAAGGTACCCAATGGCACAACTATATCCAAGCAAAATCATTGTTGATTTCGAATAAAAAATGTGAGATTCAAATCCATCAATAAAATGCGCATATGAAACGATCTTCTGTCGATTTCTAATCCTTGCCAAGTACTTACAAATACTGCAAAAAAATATCCACAAATACTTCTCCTTTACGATATTCGTATGGCAGATGTTCAGAAGCTTTAAGCAGGATCGCCAATATAAAGTTACGCGTTGTTTTTGATTTACCTGTTGAGTTGGCAGCAAAATAAAGATTGCAATAGAAATCGCGTTTTATTCATGTAAAGGAAGCTAAGTTTTGTGAAGAATGTTTAAATACATTTGAGGTTTTCACTCTATGTGTAATGACTTTTAGATAATTAACATGTCAGTACTTTGAGGATGGATGTTGTCTAGGATATTACACCGCATAGTCCGGTAGAAGTTTACCGACGTTTGAGAGGTACTTGCTACCCACTTCGACAGGATCGTCTTGATGATGGAGGCTGCAAACACTTCAGAAACGTCGTTAAACTTCTACCAGATAACAAGTTGCAACATCTCAGATGACATTTATCTTCATACTCGCCGCCGTACGAAACAGAAATTTTAATACCTCATTGACACCTGTGTAGAATACAGTCTTCAGTCCAAGTAAATTTTTATTCAATTGACAGTCTTCAGAAGCTGATTGTAACTCTACTATTAAATCAATTTCCAGCCTTTTAGGAATCTGAAGATTCATTACCATGAATACAAGAACAATGAATTGCCTCCTGTTGTAAACTAATGCACATTCTCACCCTATTTATTTCAAAATCATTTTAATAGTACCCTCCCATTGATGCCTATATCTCCAAAGTGATTTTTTCCCCCTTCAGGATTACCATCTAAATTTTGACGTAAATACGTCTATACGGAAGGGTAATTTGGCAAAAAAGTGAAAGGAAAACGTGTAAGATCCATATCAACAATGTGTAAATATGGACTGACGACAATGGTCAGCTTGCGTGCATTGTTATGTTACCTAAGAAACGTCATCTGTTTACTCGGCATTGTTGTGTTACATTACTGCTGTCAACAATCCGCTTTCGTTATTGCAGAAAGAGCTGAGCTGTGAATCGGTTGTAGTAGAAGTATGTCGTAGACTAGATAATTTTGTGCTGGTAAAAGCATTTTAGAACATCACAAGTACTTATCTTATATAAGAATTATTACATTACATTACAGAGACGTATTTACGTCAGATTCTCTGGAACCGTAGTTCCACTGTCAACTTTTTGCATGCATTTTTCCTCTCAGACAACTCATATGAAATCAAATTGTCTTGAGAGCAAGAAGATTTCTCATACCTACCATACATGCTATGGGCCCTGCTGCTCTGTACCCTTTGATTTTTACACCCTGAAAATATATGGCGAAGACTACAAATTATAAAGCACTTCTTCAAGAAGTTTTATTCACAGTTTTGTAACTTCTTAGTTCTGAATGTTCTTGTCAACATGTTCTCAAACAGCTGTGTTCTTCCATTAGGTTGATAGATCATTGAAAAATTGCCTGATTTTAAAACATCACTTACAAATTTAAGTATGAAAATGTACTGAGAGTGAGTACACTTTATATTGCTGTTGTGCCAAATGATATCTCTCATATTATGTTGGTAGTGTTTTTACGTTAATGTGTGAAGAGTGCTGTTAAAAAGTTTTATTTTGATTTCAGGACCCTGCTCAAACAATATTTTTGGGGCCTGTTTTAGAAGAAAAATGTGGCCACTGCTTTTCTTTTGGGATGCTGGCTTGATGAATGTGTTTCTTCCCACACTAACAGTTATATTAATTTTTATTTTTACAATCAATATTATCAAACACTTGACTTCAGATCTTCACATTCCAATCAGGGATACATCTAAGCAACACAACTGGCATCATGCGAAACTTCTGTCAAAGGTGTTTAAATCATTTTGCAAATCTTAAGTTGGAAGAATTATGGATGGGAGGCATGAACAGCTTAGTTTCATATTATCCCAGTCACTTCCGTAATTAACTTTTCTGATTTTGAGGCCAAAAAAATTCATATTATTTCAATTCAACTTTGTGATCTTTGAATGTGGAGTTCCACCTAATGTGAAGCCTGTATGTCAGCTGAATGTGAATATGTATGAATTTATACTTCTCAAGTATTATTGCCAGGCACCTTAACAGAAATATCTTCCACTTCACCTTTGTGACTATAAGAGTCACATTAATATTACATAATCATGAAGATGTCATGAATGATAATGGTAATACTGATTGCAATGACCTTAATGTTAATGATAGTTGTGATGATTTTGACAACAAGTACCACAATAATACTAACAAAACAAAAATAAAACAAATTATGCTAACAACAACTTTAATGTAACAAGCCATACTGCACAATATGTGTCACATCTGTGATCACTACTTTTGAAAATCTGCCAAATGAAGGTATAATACTCATGGGTAATGTTTAAGCACTACAAGTAAAGACAAAGAACTATGAAATAAATTTTCCAAAGGTGGTGTCTGTCACTTAATTACTGAACACTTGTTCCATCTAGCAAGAATATCATATTATTTATAGGAATGAAGGAAATTGGGGTAGCTGCTAAGAGTTAACTAGGAATAATATATTTAGAGCAGAATTTTCAACTGGAGTTAATTGAGGAAAATGAGATAGCATTTAAGGTGGAAGAGCTATAGGAAGTAGATGATGCCTTTTTTTAAGCTGAGGGAAGATAGTAGAATGATGTGTTAAGCTTATTACTGAGGAATCATAAAAGACATCTGTAAATTAGGCTAGCATACATCTACCAGAAAAGCTGTAATGTATTGACAATTTATAATAATCAGTTTTAGAGTGGGAAAATCTGCTTGTTACTGCTGTCCACTACCCCACATGACTCTTGATGTTATGGCATGTGATGTGTTTTGAAATAGGTGTTGGCAACAATGCCATTATTTTTGTTTATTGATTAACTTTGCTTATTGCATTTTTAATTTATTTGTATTGCTGTTGTGAATTTTATGCTTATATTTACTGATATAAGACTTCTTACATTTAACCACTAGGTAAAATTCAAGGAGTTGAGTTTCCTTTAACTACCAAAATTGTATGAACAGAATAAGCTAATTGATTTAACATGTTTGTAGTTTTATAACAACTTCAAAATATTATCTTACATTGCAGATATAAAAGCAATTTTTTTAGGCAGTGCAACTCTGAAGCATACTTAATGTGTTATTGTCAACCCAACTGTCAAGAGGAGCATCTGTTTCTTCTGCCTGAGTTTGAACTCACAAAGAAACTCATGTAGTATGAATCTATTAAGAATATTTTTTCACATTGAAGTAGCGCCTAATCTTACATATCAATGAAAAATATTATGTTTTGTGTCTGTGTCAGCCATGTTACTGCAATGTCTGTGAAGCACTGATGGTGACTGGAGAAGGGGCATACTGTGACTGCTGTGGAGTTTGCGCAGATAGAGGATGCATTAAACCAGCTGATCAGAAGATCAAGTGTAAGGTTATTTCATCAAGTGACAAAGACCCTATGAAACATCATTGGGTGAAAGGTATTTTTTTATCTTATATCTCTTCACTGCATGCTCATATGTGTAGCAATGGCATTGTGTGAGCTAGTCTTCTAAAATTGCTTAATCAAATAAGTGGTAAAAGATGATGAAACCTTTATAGAATTATAGTAAATTTTTTCCATGTGTTAGTAAAACAAACAGAATTGGACATACACATTTAACATTTTTGTGTGTTTCTCTGTCATTTGCTCAATATGACATAATTTTGAGTACTGCACGATATATCCATTTGACTATTTGAGTAAAGCAGAAGGGCATCAGCAAACGGATGAGTTTACATGTTGTTATGAAATTCAGAGCACTGTTTACATAATTTATATGAAAATTGTAGTGAGGCCTCTTCGATTCCTGTTTGAATATAGTCTTTCTGCAGCTAGATGTGGTATAGCATGATATAATTGGGATGTGACATAAATTGTAATCATTGTATACATGAAATAATTTAAGGTTGAAGTCAGTCTGCTTGAAATATTTTTGCCTTAGAATTTAGAATCCATCTCACATTTGATTACAGTTATACAATACTGACAAAATATAATACTTCTTCATTTTACAACATGTTGTCACAGTTTAAATTGAATATGTTATAACATAAAATTATTGTATAGAGTATTTTCAGTTTCTGAAATCCATGTATATTTTAAATCTGCCTTTATGGAACATGTTCTTGTTCCTGTATGTATTCACAGGTAACCTTCCACTAGGTGCATGTTGCTACATATGTGTAGAGGATTGTGGATCAGAATATGGACTAGTGGATTGGATGTGCTGTTGGTGCCAACGAACTGTTCATTCACAATGCCATATTCACATTGATGAGGTATTTTTTTCTACTAGTCCATTTTTTAATTTTTTAATTAAAATTAAGGCTAGTAGACTACATGGAAAAATGAAAGTATGTAAGGGTGCTGAGTATAATATTTGGTCCAAGAGATGAAGTTATAGGAAACTGGAGAAAATTGCATAATGAGTAGCTTTGTAATGTGTACTCTTCATATAATATTATTAGGGAGATTGATTCAAGGATGATTAAATGGACAGGGCATGTAGGAAACATGGGAAAGGCTAGAAATTCATACAAAATTTTAGTCAAATAACTTGAAGGGATGAAACCACTTTGAAGAACTAGGCATAGGTGAAAGGATAATATTAAATGTTTTTTAAAAAATAGGATGTTTGGATGTGAATTGGATTCAGCTGGCCAGAATAGGGTTCACTTTTAGGCTCTTGATTATAATAATGAACCTTCATGTTTCGTAAAAGATGGGAAATTTGACTATGTGATAATTGTTTTTATCTTCTTAAGAATGATTCTGCTGCATGGAGTTTGTTAGTTAGTCAGCAGAGTATGTAATGAAAACTGAGTAGATACTTAAGAGACATAGTGTCTGCAGTAAACATGATTGAAATTATCAAAAGAACACCAAATGAACAGTATGCTTCATTAGACCTGTTTGTTTTTCTCTTCTTGTTTAGAAATGGTTGCATTACTTATAGACGCTAACAGAAGTTCCTTAGCTGAATTCATCACATAGCAATTGTTGAAAGCTGGGTGTGGCATAATATACCAGTTATTTGTTACATGAAACTATAACATTTTAAACTTTCTCCCATCAGCTTGCCAAAATATGAGTTTAAATGAGTATCACTCATAGAAATAACCTGTACAAGGATGGCTTAAGGCACAATTGAAAACATTTTATTTTGATGGACTCCAAACGAATTGAAAAGCAGTGTGATTGTATGGAGAAACAAAATATGTTTTAAATTCTATGTAATTGGTCAATGTTTGTAATAAAACTGCCTTAAACTTTTTAATTACTTTTGAACATGCAGTTTCATAAAATTTGTGAATAACAGTTTAATTTCTTCTCTTATACTGATTTTCTATGAACATGGAAAGAAAATAACCTGCTTTATATATTTGAAGTAACAGTTTGTAGTTTGGCTTTTTTGATTAAGGTTTGTGACTTTGGACCATATCGTAACCAGATGATTCCACCCAGCTGTGTTATATTAACTAAGAAACGCAATAGTATACGCAAGAAACTCCAACTCCGTGCAGTTAAGTCTCCTGGCTGGAAGAACTGGACACCAATTATTGTACTAGGTATGTTCTGTGCATACAACATCATTATTGTCTCATCCATTTGGATCTTCAGAGTAATTTCCTATCAAGAAACTCTTATAATTCTGAAAATGTGTATTGTTTCAAAATATACACAATTTAAAGTGACAGTAAAGCTATTCCTGTGCTTGAACACCACTGCTATGCTTACATGAATAAAGGCCACACTTTTTTTCAAAATCTTTATCCTCTAAATTGCTGTGTTTATAGCAAACCGCAAGTCTGGTAACAATGATGGGGACATAATCCTGTCACTTTTTCGACGCCTTCTGAATCCTGCACAAGTAGTGGACTTGGCAGACCATTCACCTGAGGCTGCATTAGAGTGGTGTTCTCTTCTGGGAGAGGTTCGAACCACAGTACTTGTAGCTGGAGGAGATGGAACTGTTGGCTGGGTTCTGAATGCTGTGAATAAATTGCAGTTAAAGGTAGGAACTAATGTAACATGCTTATTATACTGTAAGTAGTTTACCATTTAATGAAGTTTTACATAAGAAGCACTGTTACTCCTATGAAAGCAAGATGTGTAGAAGAGTTAAAGTCATGGGGTTCTGTGATTCTGCCACTTCTGTTTTGAGGAGGGAGATTCAGTCATTGATATTGTATATGTAAAATGCTGTAACACCTGTACCAAACAGGCTATACTATGCTTATCTAAAAATTCCCATATAAATGTCAGGAGACATTCCAATAGTGTATATTATATTGTTTGTACAAAGAAAAAATAAGAAATCATAGTCCTCTGAATTTTGTTGTTCGAAAATTTTACTGTCCTTGTGCATGCAGATGTATATATCAGGTACTCAAGAGAGAATGCTTCTCATAGTAAGGGCCTACATACTAAAAATAAACACCAGATATTTCTTGCCCATAATGAGATTATGCAGAAGATCAAAAGAGAATTGATTTTTATGGAACTATAGCTTACTTGCATTAATGTTTTTAAGTTACTATAGTTTACACACTGTTTAATTCCTTAACTTCTCTATACATATAGACTGACTTCTATGTATTCTAGCCAGGTCCAGCAGTGGCCATTCTACCAATAGGAACAGGGAATGATCTGTCCCGTGTTCTGGGCTGGGGCAAGGAATATCATCCTGATTTTGACCCAGTCTCGGTACTTGAACAAGTACAGAATGCCCAACTTGTGCATCTAGACAGGTAAAATTGTTTATTTTATGTTTGTATTCAAGCAGTAGGTTTCCTCCTCCTGAGAGAGAGAAAAAGAGAGAGATATTTCTGTTATTTATCTGCTGATGTACTCATTTGTAATGTTTTGACTCATAAAATATGGCAGTTAGCTCAGTGTGACCTAGTTCACATCCCAACTGCATTTAGGAGTTTTATGCAAGAAGAATGAAATTTGCTATATTCAGCTAATATACATGTATACAGCATTTTTCATGTTTATATATGACATTATTCTGCTATTATATATATATAATGATGCATAAAATACAGTGACCACATTCACACATATCACTTAAGAAACACAAAGAAACATGTAACAATCTACAAACATAAATTTACTGTTTTTTGTTCTTTTTTCCTGTTGTCATTCATCTGCACACGTAGCATTGTGGATTGTTTATAGTTTCTAAGAGGGAGAATTTTCTTGAAAATGTGACATCTTGTTATACAGAGCATATTTAATATAGCTATGTACAACACTCACATCTCATGTCTGTAACGAGATGATGTATTAGATAAATAGATTATTATATGAAATTTTAGGTTCTTACTGAAGTATGGCCTGAAGATGGTAGAGGTATGTTCCTTATGTAATGCTACATACTCTGAGATACTGACAGCATCTTTAAAATAGATAAATAAATAAACAACATAGCTTTCTTTCCTGGATAGCGGTGAATTTCTCTGCTGCTCAAAAGATTAATATAAATTAAAACTCCACAGTGTTCAATGTATCAACTACAAATTAAATAAATTTCCCCATTTTTAGTTGTGGGGATATTACACAGACAGGTTATGTCCTGTTTCCATCTTTTATATTGTATTTCATTTCATTTACTTTATCATCATGTTCTAATTTAAAATATTCCCTAATGTTGGAATAAAAATGTACATTTTCATGATACAGATGGAACATTGAAGTGCGTCCATACCGCCATCTGGGTATATATCTGCCAGTACGGAATATGTTCATGTACAACTATCTGAGTGTAGGGGTGGATGCCCAAGTTACTTTAGATTTCCACCGTGCTCGTGAGTCTCCCTTTTACATTATCAGCAGTCGTTTGATCAATAAGGTAAGAAAGTTCTCTGCATGTTTATTAGCCAAGTATGTTGCCCTTGAGCCTTGTTCATATAATTAGTGGCTTGCAATTTAATTTTGGCTGTTGATTATGTTCAAAGAAATTCAAAATTTGTATTGAAAATGATTGACAGTGCTGTGGCAATTATTTTCAGTTGCACATTTTGTGCATCACATGTGTTAAAATCATTTACAATTAAATTTCAGATGAATATTATAACGTGAATGTTACATGAATCCAAAAATCCTGCAGGTTGAGTCATATTTACCCATTCCTCTCCTTATTCTGAAATTCTGTTCTTTTGTGGCCAAAGAACATGTCTGGAAATGTGTAGTCTGTTATATTTTCTGAAACTTAGCTCCTGCATTTCCTTTGTAGTTATTTACATTTTTTGGAATTAGGTGAGCAGTGTGTATGAGGTTACAGTGCTTTCTCCATCCCATTCCTTTCTGTTAAATTCTAAATATGCAACTGATTTCTCAAGAAGAGTTTATATTTCATATGTTTAAAATATAATGAGGAGGGGAATTCTGTTCTATATCAAGATAGCTGATTGCCTTTGAAGACTTAATTGTATAAATTTTAGAACAGTTTGGATTACATGTTATGAAACAAAGTAACTTGCATAGAAAACATGAGAAGCTGATAATGATAATTTTGGACTTGCACTCCACTGTCATTTCAGTGCAGGCATACAATCCCTTGGCAACCATGGGGGCTATGTTCCTGAAATATACTTCTGTTGGCAAGATCAATGGTCATTTCAACCATTGTGGTCTCTAACTATATGGCAAGGGTGAAGGTCAGGTGATTGGAAGATGGTGAACATAAGGATGATGGCCAGCAAAGGGTATCTACAGTTTTTGTGGTGCAGCCCTGATATATCTCATTGTCACAGTTTTTATTTTTTCAGTT